AAAGATTGAGTGAATTTATTTTGGACTCAATAAAATAAGCAATCAAAGACATATAATTTTGTGCAATTTAATTTATTTTCAATATTTAATAAATAAATTGTATTAATTCCAGACCACTTTAGGTTTTCTAAACATTAAGCTTACAATATACAGTGTGTTTGCTTATTAAAACAAATACATTTAGTTTTTTTTCGTATTTTTAAAGAACTATCCTTTAATGTTTATTTTTTTTATTTACTTGAATATCCATTTCGATTTGTTTAATTTTTTTTTGATAGTTTAAAACTGTTTCTCAAATGATTGTTTGCAAAAGAAATAAATTTCTGTGAAACAAATAAATAAAATTTCAGACTTTCTTTCACAGTTGAGTATCTTCTGGTTGTTTTTTTTTATTTTTTTATTGTTTTTAAAAGAATAATTATTAGTTCTTTAACAAAATTATATAAGTAGAAGTTGAACAAATAATGTATGTTTTTAATTTTCTGTACAAATTTTTGGTATTAATTTCATGAGGTTCATTTTCAAAAATTGGTGCAAAATATTTGTTTATAAATTATAGTGCTATAACTATTATAATTATAGAGAATTTGATAGCGTAGAGATGGTTGACTGTGATGATAATATGACAAGGAGTTGGGAGGGGGAGGAGGGTGCGGTCTAAAGAATACTATATATCGAAATAGTATTTTATTGTTTACGCCGACATTTCGACCCACTCTTAGAACCTCATCAGGGCCGTGGTATAGGGAACTGCAGGAAGCAGTTGGTAGACTGGCAGGCAAAACCATAGAGAATTTAAATTAAAGAATTTAGAAATTTTGAATTTAAATAGAGAATTTAAAATTATATTATTGTACCTAGTTGTGAATTCTTGATTAATTCGACCTTAAAAATCTTCATAAAAATCAGCAAAATAATGTTCAAATTTAATTTAATAAAAAAGACGTTCTCTTTATGTATATTCATTTATTTTTCACTTTTGTGCAACCGGGTTACAGTCTTTTATCAGATGTTCATCAAGTAAAATAATAAAATTAGCAACAACTATAAAAACTTTTTCAAGTAATAATAAAACCTAATTTAAAATTTAACACCATCAAATCACCTTTACCCTTCATCGTAAACCAATGACTTCCTGTCCTATAGTATCCTTTAATAACACCCCACTTATCCCTGTAGAACAAATCCGATACCTTGGACTCCAGCTGGACAAACGTCTCACTTGGAATCCTCATACAAGACTGAAACGACCAGAAACTGCTCGACGTTTCCGCTTACTCCAACACTTACTGAACAAACGCTCTAAACTTCCAATTAATTACAAACGACTCATATACATTACTATAATAAGACCTATTTGGACTTATAGAGTTGAGCTATGGGGCTCCACTAAACCATCAAATTCCTCTCGTATCCAATCTTTACAATCCAAAATCCTTCGTAAAATCCTCAATGCTCCTTACTTTGTCACAAATAAAATAATCCATAAAGACCTCAATGTTCCATATGTTTCTGATTTGGCCAAATCCAGATACCTATCCTTCCATAATAAACTTCATAACCATCCGAATCCTCTTGTTTCTAACTTTGCTTCCTCTTCGATTCCTGATAACCCTCCGAGGCGTCTGAAAAGAAGATGGCCTCATGATCTCCTCATGTAGACAAATTATTAGAGTGCTACCAATGGGTAGTTTCTCAACAAGCGTGTTTCATGTGATTATATTCCTCTGTACACATATACTTGATGTATTCATACTAATACAGTTGTAAATATCATAATAAAAGTTTAAAAAAATTTAACAATTTAAAATCCAATCTCATTAAATTAATTAATAAAAATGTAATCACCTAACTGATGCTGGTCCTCTCCTACTTGTCAAATGAGGATTAAAAAATAAAAATAAAACTACTGACCAGATGGGCTATCCTTACCCTCACGTATTGTTTTAATTTGCCGCCGCTAATTTTATGAGTACAGAATCCTCAAATTGAGTACTTAGTACATTCAGGGATATTGCGTCACTTTTTATAATTCTTTACTTGATTTCTAATTTTTTAAAAAAGTCTGTTCTTTTCCCCTTTGTGCTCCAATTTATTTGAGTTCGTCTTATTCTTATTTAAGAAATAAGCAGTAAATTTTGTATGCTAAAAGCTATTTGATATCCACTACCTGTCCATTCCCAAACAAGTATCATTATTTTTTATTTACTAATTGAAAACAACTAAGGAATGTGCTGAATTACAGATTAAAAAAAAAAAATAGTATGCGATTCATATTTCAATCATTGTTAAAAGTTCTAAGATTTAATTAAATTAATGTTTTATTTAGTTTGGAGTATTTGCAATTTTATTCTAAATGTAGGTTATTTTATTATTAAATTTGTATTGAACATTTAATAGTTGACCATTCCATTATAAAGGAAGGAGATGGTCCGGGGTGGCGGTCATAAATAGGCTAAATAGTGGCAAAACTATTTTATTAAAAGCTTTTAATAAATTAGTTTTGCCACTATTTAGCCTATTTATGACTGCTACCCCGGACCATCTCCTTCCTTTATTAAATTTATAGATTCAAAATAGTCTATCAACTGCTTCTTTCAGTGTCCTATACCATGCCCTGATGAAGATCAACAAAATGGATCGAAATGTCGGCGTAACGATTAAAATACTATTTTAAAAATTTAGTATTTATTTGACCGCACCCACTGACCATCCGACCAACTCCTTCTCATATTAAATTTATATATTGTATTAGAATTATTAATGGTTACCAGTTTGTCTGATATACAGTCGGGTTCATAGAAATTGCAGCATCACTCAGTTAAAATTTGTTTGAATTTTATTTTATTTACTAAATTGCTATCTGCAAGATCCCTGGATATTTGTTTGGCAGTTTTGAAGTGATATTCTAAAAACAATTACACCATTAAGCGGTCAAATTATTTGTTTGTTTTTTGCACCTCCTCGTTCCTTTCTTTCGCTCCATGGTACCTTTATTATTATTTATTATTCTATATGATGTGAAAATTCCTTCACTTCAAGTAACGTCACAATTTTAATAGTTTCTGAAGAAGGCAGTTATATCCTGGCATTAGTTAAAACTAAACGGAGAAACATTGTTAAAGTTCTCTTGTAACCTAAATAAAATAAAGTAAAACAAAATCATTCAATGGTATCAACATAAGAATCAAAATAGATAAGTGATACAATTTCTATGACCGTGACTGTAAACCATTTTCATACGTAAACTGCAAATTATTATTCGTAGTCCTTATAATAAAATGATTTTAATTACTTATTCTTGTCATTCTAAAAACAATTACAATTTATTAAAGAAGTATCAATGGCAATTTATTAAAGTAATATGTCTCAAATTTCAATTATTAGTAAATAAATTCTTTAAATCTTCTACACTTATAAACGTTTTAAAATAACTAAATAATGATTTTTGTAAGCTGTAGATATCGTCCTTTCTGTTTCTCTATATTTGTTATTTTTGCTTCTTTTTTTTCTTTTTTTTTTTATCTCCCATTTTAATGTCTTTTATTAATGCAAATTTTTCTTTCATACTATATGACTTTTGTTTGGAAGCATTGTTTATATCAAGTAACACTGAATGTCAAATTTTGAGAGGTTTGGAATGTATGAGGTTCTTAAGTTAATTTTGTATGCCTTTTTTTATTATCATTACTAGAAATGATATAATAGATTTGGGCGACAAATATTCAGGACACAGTCATTATAAAGTTTGTATTGGTGCCGACATTTCAATCCAAACAAGTGGGTCATCATCAGGGCATGTTTGGGTTGAAACGTCGGCACCAGTAAGAAGTTTATAATGACTGCTTCCTGAATATCTATCATCCATGACATGTAGAAAAGTTGACTAACTTCCTCCAAATAATCAATTAACAAATTTATTGACAGGAAAATACATTTATATATTAAAATAAATAATATTCATTTCCATGAATGTCAAATTCAAACCAGAAACACCTACCGCGGTGCACTAGAAATGATTCGTTATTGTGGAGTAAGGCAGTGTCCTTAAAAAAAAATTACAAATTGTTCCTATAAAGTGTTACTCTCTATTCAACCGAATCTTGGGCAATTAAAGAGAGGTTATCAAAATATAAGTAATTAAGATCATTTATTTAACATGACATTCAACATGGTAGAGCTTCATACTTCACCATTACTTGTAAAATAACTATCTACTTAATACGTGGTTAGCTTGTCCCTCTGAAAGTATGCCTCCAGTTTAAAAGTTAATCAACAAGTCATAGCTATCCCTGAACTAAAACTAATTTATAATTGTACTTCAAGATCCATTTCTTTGGAGCAGAAGTGGCTTGGTTTGTAGTTTTCTTATTTACTAATAGGATAAAAATCTATTTATTATTGAGGGTATAGAAGTCATAGTTGAGTATTTTTTTATTTATTTAAAACATCAAAAATTTTTTTTCTATATTATTGAAAGTCTATATCCCAAGGGATCATAGAGGTATTCTCTTCCATTTTTTATTTTATTTTTTTATCCCCCTTCCTGGCGTTTGTTGAAGACTATCAATAATAGTGATATTTAAATACTTAAAACCTAAACATGTAATGTCTCCCATGGGAAACACAGTAGCTCAGAGAGAATTGTGGATTCCAAAGGAACTTTACCGGATTTTGGGGTTTTAGAAATTTTTAAAACACAATTTATCCATCTTAGTTTTGAAACAACTCAATTTTTGCAATGACTTTTATTGTAGATGTAGTAAGGTTTTATACTTTGAAATTGGTATTCGTCACTTCTCCATGAAATTCCCTTTTGTTTCACCCCTCATTCGTAAAAAAACCACCATTCATGACACCCAGAAAAGGGATCTATATTATTGCATTATATGTAAAATAGATGTTTCTTTTAATTTTAATTTTTTTCTTTATATTTTAAAAAATCTGTCACATTATTTTTTAATTCATTATATTTACATCTATTTTTCTTTGTGTTACAGTGGTGTGGTTGTTCACTGTGGAGACTGTGGTTCAAGCAACAGTGATATAACTGAGCCGTGCTCACCGCTTTCAACTACCAGTTTAGAAGAAATGCCGCCAACACAGTCGCAGCCAGCGTGGATATGGGGAGGGACTGAGACCGGGGACCCGCCATCGAAGAGGCCAAAGCAGGGAAAAATAACAGAATACTTCAAGACAAAAGCGAAGAAAGTTTCCGAAAAGCCCGCATCAACTGTTAAACAGCTTATCTCTAAATTGTTGGCATCGCCTCCCGCGACGCCAAAAGCCGGTTCCCTTCCGTACGACAGCAGCGAGGTATTCAGGGATAGTCTCACGCCAACGTCCGACAACAAACCTCTTACTCCGCCCACCACCTCCCCCGAGACATCGTCGGACACCTCTCTACTATCCGGTAGCAAATCAGAAGTCGAGTATGGGGATATTTCATTCCTTTTCAAAAAAACAGATCTAGAAGTTAAAGATAAGGAGAGTGAAGAAAGGACCATAAGGTTTCCCCTCAAGAACGTATGGAGGGGCCATTATGTTTCCGATTATGTTTGCAAATGGACCGATTGTGATGCCAAATTTGCCACTGCCACTGCGCTTTCAGAACATTTAGTGGTATGTAATACTATTTTTAAATTTTTAAAGATATATTATTAGAATATTTCAAAAATATCTGTGCCCCAAAGGGGAAGGTTACGATGTCCATTTTTTTATTAAATGATTTAATAACTAAGAAAGGAATTTTAATAGCTAAAAGTTATGGAAAATTGGCTCCCCTGAACATGTACAAAATCGTATCCTTTACCTCCGGGGCACACTTATAACTCTCTCAAACAGCATTCATTTTGATAAAAGTTAAAGTTTCTATCATTTATAACTTTATTGTACTCCGAATCAACCTGTAAATATTAAATTGTATTTCATGGACACACCAAAATATTTATATATATTCTGTGATTGACTTGTTCTAAAGGGTCACTAGTCCCAGAACAATAAAATTATTTTCATTCATTCAAAGCTGAGAAAATTATATTAATCAGCTGATCTGAAAAATAGTATCTGTTGATCAGCTGTTTTGTCTCTATTATAAAACCTTGGCACCTATGCATAGTGTGTTAAATGAAAAAAATCATATTTAGAGAAAAACGCTATAGAAAGTTTGGAATTTTCACAGGTCCAAGTTCAATTTTGGAGTTTCAAACTATAATTCACAAAGAAATGTTCATCTGTGTAATTCCTACATAACCTAGCACATTAAATACAAAGAAAGAGGCGAAAATTAGCTTTCTGATAATTCACATAAAAAATCATAAAGTAGCACTTAACACACTTTTCACTGGTGCCACAGAAATCTAAGCTAGTAAAAACTCTACAAAATACAGAAATTAAATGTTGGGTTATAATTGGAATCCAACTACACAGCCTTGTGTATCTAAAGTCTAATTAAAAAACAAACTAAACTGTCAATAATATTTGGCCAATTCAGGCATAATCAGGTGAGGAAGAAAAAAATAAATAAATAAAAAGCGACATCACTTAATGATATCCAAACACATACTCAAAAGATGGTTGAAAAGACTACGTGGTGGTGTGATCTTGTTTTTTCTTTCCTGATAATGCCTGAATTGGTAAAGCATTGGATAGGTTATTTATTTATTGGTATTTAACAGATTTATTTTATTATTATTTTTATAATCTTCAAGTAATAAACTAGCAAATATGTTTTTATTTTGTCTTAGTTTTTGCTATTTTTAGTTAATTTAATATGGCTATTATATTATTTTAGGAAGATGTAATCTAAAAAAAAATCATGGTGTATATTTATGAAATTTATTATTTCTCAATTCAATCCCTTAGAAGAATGATTTTTTTTTTTTGTCATTCTGAATGCATCTAAAGCAATCGTTCAATTAAAGAAAGTGACTTCTATTGGTTTTGCTTTTGGTGATATTACAGTGATGGAAAAAAGTATTTGCACAATACGTTTTTATGAATAAAGTAGTTCAAGGAAACAAAAAACTTGGCTTTACTTTGCAAAAATGAAAAGTAAATTTATTAAAAACTGAAAAAACCTTTTTACAAAAAAATAAAAACACTTCATAATCAAACAAAATAATTAAAACAATAAAAGTGCTTTGAAAAAAGTATTTGCACACTTCCACATTTACAAGTTTATTTTAAATTTTAATAGTTTTAATATTTTGTAAATAGGCTATTCGCGTCAATAATTGTTTGGGCATTGAATGCACTAGGTTTTTAATTAAATCTACGTTTATTTGTTCCCATTCTTGAACAAGAAGTTTTTTAAGGTGATATCCACTAGTGATATGGTGTTTTCTTACATTTTGGTCAAGGGTGTGCCATAAATTTTCAATGAAATTTATATCTGGTGACTGAGGAGGAGTGTGGAGCTGTCTTAGAACATTAAATATTAACCATTCCTTTGTTCTCCTCACAGTATGTTTTGGATCGTTGTCCTGCTGGATATAGTAGTGATCCTGGATTCCCATTTTTTCGGCACTAACACGCAAATTATTTCGCAAAATGTTCACATAGCCTTCATCATTTAAAATGTCTTCGATGCTCACAAGATTTCCCACGCCATGGTAGGAAACACACCCCCAAACCATAACATGTCCTCCACAATGCTTTACAGCTGTTAAAACATTTTGCTTCTTTAGGGCTTCTTTACGATGTCGCCATATCGTCCTTCGACCATCTGAACCATACAAATTAAATTTGCTTTTGTCAGAAAATGACATTTTCCCAAAAGCTTAAGTGTTTCTGTACGTACTCCCTAGCAAAAGCAAGGCACTTTTTGCGATTCCTTTCACTGATGTATGGCTTCTTTCTTGGAACTCTACCATGGAGTCCTTCTTAATTCAGGGCATATCTTATTGTTCTGCTAGTAATCTGAACTCCAGATGTTGATTGGACCGTGGTAGCCAGCTCCCGAGAACTTATCAGAGGATTTTTAAGAGCTTCTTTTCTTATTTTCCCCTTCAGCCTGGGAGTTAACTTTTTTGGATGCCCTTTACGCTCACTGTTTTCAGTTGAACCACGTTCTTCTTACCTTTTTATGACGTATCTCACTGTAGAAAAATTCAACCCTAAGAAATCGGCAATTTGGCGATATGTTTTTTGCTGACTCCTCAGTAAAACAATTTTTTCGTGAGTTGCGGCACACAGTTCACTTGTCTTTGGCATGATAATTGTCTATTGACTAAAGGAAACTGATTGAAAGAATACTGGTAATAAACAATTAGAGATAAATTAGTAAACAAACCTATGACCTATGTAATAAACAATTAGAGATAAATTAGTAAACAAACCTATGACCTATGGACACAGAAGGATTAATGCCAAAGTAAACTGAGCTTGTGAGTACTTTTTTTTTCCAATGAGTACTTTCCATGTACTTTTATTGTTTTAATTTTTTTGTTTCATTATGGAGTGTTGTCATTTTTTTCCAAAAGGTTTTTCTCAGTTTTTAACAAATGTACTTTTCATTTTTGCAAAGGAAAGCGAAGTTTTTTGGTTCCTTGAACTCATTTATTCTTAAAAACATGATGTGCAAATACTTTTTTCCATCACTGTATATTATTTTTTATTGATATTATTTTTTTCTCCATTTTTATATTGTAAAGCAACTTGTTTTTCTTTTATAATAAATTAGGAGAATTAATACAATAGCTACTAATAATTATAATTCTGTTTGTTTCTATCGATTAGTTTCTAACTATTTAAATTTATTTTTCTAAGGGCTCAGTTTATTAATAACACTGTTTACTTAATTTACTGTCTAAAAATAAAAATCCCAGGATATTCCAAAAAAATAAAATGATGGCAATTTATTTTTTACTGATATTTGATAGGTATTTTATTAATTAAAAGGCTTAGAGAATGGATTGTTAAAGTATTAGTTTGAAATAAAGAATATTTTAGATTGGTAATAGTTCTGTAATTATTTTAGATGAATGGGTCATGAAAATAGACATTATGGTTCAAATCCTTGACCAATTAAATTGAGGGAGTAACAAACTAAAAGGGTTTAATTTTTAGACAGTAAATTGTGTAAAAATAATATTAAGATTTGTAGCTTTATGTGTTTACTACTTATGAAAACTTTATTGTCTAATATTTTTTTAATTTTTAGATCATACACGTCAACCCACAAATCGGTAATAATTATGTATGTAAATGGGAAAATTGTAAGGTATTCGGACGAACTAGTTGCTCTTTCAATTGGCTCGAAAGACATGTTTTATCGCATGGAGGTAACAAACGTTTCCGATGTATTGTAGACGAATGCGGACAGCGTTTTAGTAGTCAGGTATGTATTTATATCAGAAAATTATCTATTAATTTATTTAATAGTTGGCCTCTTGCCATAAATTGCACTGATGTCAGTCAGTGAATAAATGCTAAAATAATATGGAAATAAGTTAAGTATATACAATATCCTAATTGTGGATCGATGGTTGACTGAAGAGAATAATTGAAGAGAATTTTTATTTTATTGAAAACTTGTCGATCTGCAGCGGACAACAGTTTTACTGTATTTGTGATTTGCCAGTATATTTGTGGTGATTGACAGTAAGGTTATGCCAGACGTAGGTTAGAGACCCTTAATTTATTTGGTTATTAGAAGGCTAGTCAAATTATGAACACAACTAATCTTAAAATTAGCAATAATTAAGAATCTCTCATATAACCCCGTCCTCTATCATTAACAGGAACCTAAAAACTATGTGCAATATATATCCCATGTCAATGCAACAATTAAGTTGAGCTTGTGGCTGAAAAACCTTTATTATGTATTATCTCAAAAATTTTAGATTTTTGGTCTTTAAAATCCAATCCTTTGGAACATAACTGATATTTATGCCGCCCCACATCAAAATATTTAAAATCCCATTTGTCCTCTCTCAATTCATCGACTTACCATAGTTCCAGTTTTGAACCCTAAATAAGTATTTATAGGGTTTGATTCCCACATGGAGGCGGTAACCCTGAGATTTATAGGAATGTGAGCGACCCCTTGTCTTACACCTTAGCTCCTGGTCCTCCAGATTGGGGTTTGGGTATAGGGCTGATAATCCCCTATCCATAAAAAAAAAAAACTGGGTGGAAGATTGGAGCAAAAGATTACCAACCATCGTTCAGGAGAGTTCCTGATGAAGAAAGAGTGAATGTGGTCGCGTCCGGTTAGTAAACCCCACGTGCTCCCTGGATGTCTCAAAGAAGCAAGAACCAAGCGATCACTGTGTTCTATAAAAACCTCAACCTGCTGAAAAAAACTCATGACTAAACAAAGTCGAAGTCAACAGGCGTAGGAAAAATAAATAAAAAATTCACAATCTCTTTTGAAATTCTGAATCTAATGATATTATATTCATGATATTTGAGCATGACAGGACCTTATATTTGGTTCAAATCCAATTTCTAGCAGAGATTATGTTCATAATCCTCTATCATTGGTAGCTCATGGATTTTTTTAATCATTGTTTTAGATTTTCATTCTTTTTAAGGAGTCCGATAGGAATTTCACATATTAATTAAGCAACAGAATCCTAATGAAAGCACAGTAAGGCACTGTAACCCTATACTCCTATAAATTTTTCCAGTCGTTTAGAAACAATATTCCTTAATATGTACTATACCCAAGTCATTATTGTTTTCTGTTATATCAGTTATAATTATTTGAAAATAGTTTGGCTGAAACTTCATAATTAATACACAAATATTAATTTATAATTTGTATTTTACAGAGTTTGCTACATAGGCATGTAGATAGCCATTTTAATGATAATAAAGATCAGGGAAGCTCTAAGAAAGGTTGCGAAACAGCTACAAAATTAATTCGAAGGAACGGGAAGAAATTAAGATATCGAAGCCATCCCTTCTCTGGTAAATATTTTAATTTTTATATTGATTATATGCACATAATAATGTGTCCTATTTTCTTCCTGTGTTATTGAAGGTATTGAAAAGCCAAATAAATAAATATTGATGTTTTAAAATATTTTTTCAGCTCGAATTTATGACTATTTTGATGCTGGAATCATGGAAGGCCTTCAGCATAATCTTATCGAAATGACGGAGAGAAGAACAAATGGACTTTATGACTCATGTCCAGGAGATACGGTTACGCTTCACAGTAAGGTAAATTGAGTTCCAATAAATTAATAATCATTTATAACGTTCAGGAAAATTATGTATTTATGTATTTACATTATTTATGTATTTACATTTTTGTATTATAAAGTTTAATATATCATCAAGTAAATCCTCTTGTTGCATTATAAGCATAAAAATTTATTTTCAAGAATTGTTTGTTATTCAGGTAATTTTAATTTAAAACATACAGCTAAATTTGACAGTTTATTTATTATTACAATCCTCGATTACTATTTAAATTATTAAATTAACTGCTACCTCATGCCCTGTTAACACCTTGCTCATACTTTTGGATATCTTATACCTTTAAAATGGTGTTTCCAGCTTAAAAACTCCAATCCAAGAAATATATTCCCATTTTTCTCTTTTATTGTAATTATTAAAGTAAAAACTTCTTCAGTCGCGTATTACACTTTATTGTGGAGAGTGAATTACATTAAGCCATCAGATCTCTGATGTGTAACGCTCAGGTAATCCAGCGGGAGTCGAATAATTGAAGTGTTTTTGTATATGGATTATTAAAATATCTCAGAAACTAAAAATTAGACCTGCATATTATAAGCGATGGAATTCTTCATCCTCTCTGTAATGGCTTACTATTCAAAATTGTATCTTAATACGATGAAAAGGAAAAAATAGTGTCGAAAACCAAATGATAACAAGCTTTATTGAAAATATGGATTAAAATATCTCAGAAACTAAAAGTTGGACCTACACATTGTAAGCAAGGAAATTGTTTAGCATCTCATACTCTCTGTAATGGGCTGTTATTCAAAATTTTATCTTAACAAGAGAGGCGAAAATAAAAAAATAGTGTCTAAAACTAAGTGATGATGACTTTTATTGAAGATATGGATTAAAATAACTCAGAAACTAAAGATCGGACCTGCTTATTGTAAGTGAGGGAATGTTCAGCATTTCATCCTCTTTATAATGAGCTATTATTTATCATTTATATTTCATATTATTAATCTCACCTTGTTGATGTTTTCACTTCTATAGTGGTCTAGAGCACACACCTTAGTTTTTTTTTTATTGTCTTGTATGTAATTTATTTGATTTTATAAATTTTTGTTTATAAAGTAAATCTTAGAGACACTTTGACAGGTTTGTGTTTGACAACCTTATACGTCACACTATTGTAGACTCAGGCCACAATCTCCACTCCCCACCACACCTCCCAGGTGCTGTGTTATTTCAAGTTTTAAACTAAATATGAACCTATTTTTTTATTGCTTAAAAATTACAATCTCAATTTTATGTACGTTCTTTATAAATGTTTTTTTGTCATGTAAGTTCCCAATGGTCTTAACAAACTTCTTTGATTTTAATCGACTACTGTTGAAGTAAATTTTTTAAGGAAATCAAATATCTTGATAAAATCTGAATAGATTTTTGACAAAAATGTTGTATTTTATGTCCTAATGTTTTTCTGTTTAATTTTTTTTTTTTTTATCTTACCAATTTTTAAGTTATGGAGTTCACCTCTTTTCTTTAAATTTCATTTTATTTATGTTTTTAAATTATGTTATGAATAAGGAAAAAATTGAATCGACGAGAATCAAATGGTTATCATAATAGAAAGAGGATATATAGCATTTGTCCATTTGTTTCTTGCAAATTTTTTCCTCTCAGAATTGTCTGAGTGTGGTCAGTTGTTACCATGAAGACTTATGTTCATAAGGTCTACTTTTTGTCTCTCATCGTTCATCAGAGGGTTACTGCAGTCTTATTTTCTCATCGTCAGAAATATTTTCTCATGGAATTGAGAAGACTCGGATTCCGAGAGATCGAATTCTTGGCTTCAAACAACTAATTAATAAGAATTTTATTTTCAGATACTCTGCAAGAGAACCGTTGACAATGGCCAGACCGAAGTGCTCCTGAGATGGTTTCCTAGGGACATGTTAGTATTTTATTTTTTATTTTATTGAATGTATTATGAGTTGTGTTTAATGTATTTGAAAATAGTTGGTTTATTGAATAGATTTGTTTTGATTGTAACATGTATTATTTGTTGTGGTTACCCCTATAAAATTACAATACAACTTCATGGGAACCTAATAGTTCATTTACATAACCAATCTTATATTTGTTCTAAATTTATGTAGAGAACATTAAGGTTTTTTATTAATTTTTGGACAGAAAAAAATTACATCTATTTCAAAGCCGTTAGCAATTATCTTTTTATAATTTATAGTAAATTTATGATTACGTGATTATGATTATGATGATTATAATTATGAATACGTGCTTAAGATTTGTCTTCGGTACATCGAGGCGGTCTCATGTGTCCCACCTTTACGACGAGTTAAAGTGGCTCTTCCCTTCTTCCCGCAGACAATATTTCCTCGGATCTTTCCTATTCCAAACAATCAACACCAGACACCCTTCCTACATCTACAGCCTCCTACAGTTTAAACCCGTGGTCCACTCCCAGCACACTAGATCCCGTGTTTCCGACCTTTATATCCCTTCCCATAGAACTAAGACGTTTGAATATTCCTTTATTGCCCGAACCACAGCCTTCTGGAATTCCTTGCCATCTGAAATCCGCCATGCCTCTTCCTTGTCCTCATTTAAATATCATCTTTACCAATTCCTTCTCACATCCCAAAATGACGTTATACAATAAAATAAATATTGTGAAACAGATTTTGACTGAGGTTGATAAAATTTATTGAGTCTTAATTTTAAAAATCAACCCATGCTTATTTTATTTTGTTTTCTTTTCATTTAAATAATGTTTTTTTTATTTCGTTTTTTTCAAAATTGTATTTTATTTTTACTTGTTTAATTTAATTTCACTGAAGATACTGTATATATTCTTTAATATTGATTAATGTAATTTTTGGCCAGATGTAATTTTTATTTTTTTGTTCATATCTGTTATTCATAAGGGACCTTGTCCCAGAATAAAGCTTACTTTCTATCTATCTATATCTCTTTTGTGCACCCATCTTGAAGAATTGACATTTTTATTGATTTTTATGTTCTTACTGTTTATTTTCCATAAATTTTGTCTGATTTAAGTATTTTATAATCTGTTGCCTAAATTTTGACAGTCAAAATAGAATGAAACTATTTTATGAATGCTGCCATTTTGATCCGTTTTCTGGGCCTTCTGTTGGGTAAAAGAAATATACCTATAATTAACCATACATGGCAAAAACCGAAAGTCTCAAAACTGTTATCTCTGTATACAAATTATAATAAAAACAATTATTTCTTCTCTTCAAGCATAGCATACCCTTTTCACATACTATTCCTCTGATTTTTCTTGCAGACATTTCACTTCACCTTTATTTGTAACCCAGAGGAGAAACTTTTACCTCTGAATCCATTTACATACACCTTGTACCTAATCTTAAAATCGATTAAGCATTATATATCTCTTTCCTATTCTATTAATTTTACCCTGTTGAAGTGATAAGGAACAGATTATCTCAGAAGAACATTATATTGTTTGTTACTGTTCTGGTTTACTGCTTTAAATATTTCCGATTAATTATGGGACATCCCATATATTCAGTAGAATTAATGGGAATCGTAATTCAGTTTTCAATTTTTTAACACTAATAGTTAACAAAATTCAAAGTAATTTTGTCGGTTAAAGTTATCTTCTTGGTATACCTGGCAAAAAATATGTTGTTAAATACAATCCCAACTTTTGTTTGAAAATCTTGTTTCAGTGTAAAAGGGTCTTATGTAAAGCCTGCGTTGATCTCCCCTTGTGGTCAGAAACCGAAGTCCTCCTTCCAGCACTAGGACTTGTGGACATGATCTCCCGTTGCATCAACAGTCAGTCCTCTGGGTACATTGCCAATGCTTTGTAGTTCCGCAGAGCAGTTTTTTTGGGATTCTACTTGTGTCCGTTCTATAGGTCCCAATTACCTTTATCAGCCCAGCTGAATATAAGAGACGATGTCTTTTGCATCTCACTATTTGTTCTAATTTGCCAGTCACATCTCCTGCTTTCTCTACATTGAATATTCGACAAAGAACTTATCTTTCCCAGACTTTCAAAACTCTTATTTTCTGCTGTTAAGGTCCATGATTCACTTCCATAAGTGACAGCTTTACTATTGTCCTATAGATTAAGATATTTGCCTTTCTTGAGGGGTTTTTGAAATTAATAGTCCGTGGTACAGACCCCTTTTTTAGCGAATTATTAACATCCAGCTGAAATTTCATATATAGCTTCATCTCATCGTAACCTTATTTATTTATGAAAATTCTCGGAATGGGGGCGTTTTCAATCTGAAGGTTAGCAAACTTTGTTTATTTAATCAAGGACTAAAAACTCGTAAATACATATTTGCTTTCCACTTGAATCATAAGATAACTTCCACACAAAGTTGAGAAAAAAGGTGACCTTTCAAAAATATTAAGCCATTTGGCGTGACCTACACCCCCAAATTGTCAAAATAACGAGGTTACAAAGGCCAAACGGCCCAATATTTTTGTAGACCACCTTTCTTATCGATTTTGTTATTAAATTATCTTACGATCCAAGTGGAAAGCAAATGGGTATTTATGAGGATTTAGTACCTAATTATGTAGCTAAAGCGCTCTCGCTCAAACTCCACTGGCTTTAGTACCAGTGACGCGGTTGAGAGAGTAGCGCAGGGATTTGGGTTCCCTGCCTGATTATATATAGGTATGGCTGTGTTTTTATGTTTTTAATTTACTTATATTTAGGTTATTTTATTTTTTTATTGTATATAGTTTTTATTTATGTTTATTTAGTTATTATTTTATATTTTATGTATATATGATGTGAATTTGTTCATTTATCACTATAATTATTGTCCTCGAGACAGAATATTATATATATGTACCTACGAATGTACCTAATTAAATAAACAAAGTTTGCCGACCTCCAAATTGAAAATTCCCCAAATCCGAGAATTTTTGTAAATAAAATATTTGTAGGTTACGGCAAAATAAAACTATTCACTAAGTTTCAGGGGGATGTTAATAGTTTAATAAAAATGGGTCTTTACCACGGGTTTCCAGCAATGACTTTTATATAGGCTTCCGTCAAATTATCGGTGGTTATTATGCTACCGAGATACTTCAATTCTGGATGTTGTGTTTTTTACTCATTCAGCTGAATAGTCTGCTCTTCACCATACCTATTTTATCCTACACCGTACCTATTAATCTCGAGCCTCGGTTAAAATGCAGCTCCCAGGAACTGTTCCAGTGCACCTGATAAAGCGTGAAGTGTTCTTGTTGAGATTATCGCATCCTCTCGACACAAAGCCGAAGAGCAAAACTGGCAATGTAGTTGTTGGCATAGTCCTTTCTCTACCTTTAAAACCTTACTGAAAAGTATTTTTTTAAATTTTGTTTAGACTGCCAACGTGATTATCTCATATATTACTAATACCCACCATTCTTTATTTATATTAATATTTCTTTATTTACATTTTTTAATTTTGTTACAGCTTAAGCGATGAATGGGTCAGCTCAACGAAAGTGGAGAGGGTGAGATACGTCAACATCCCCACCCTTCCGTCAGAGAGCAAAGACTGCCTCTACAGTTACCTCACCAGTAATCAGAGGCTGAGGAGATCTCACGGGCGCAAGTACAAGCCGTTAACCACTGCCAGTTCAACATGATATAAGTATGGTCATCAATAATCTAATTAATAGTATCCTTGTGCCCCCCCCCCATCAAAAACATTTTTTTTTCATCTATTAGGAAACTCAAAAAAAAAAACTTTTAATATTTTGTACAAAATATATTTCATTATTGTATTCAGTGTCTAGTTCATTATTTATTTATTTCATATTTAAAGAAAATGATTTTTTTTTTTTTGTTAAAATTTATGAACCACACTTGGTTAGTAGATTTTGAATTTATTTTATTCATTAATTTTTTTTTTGTAAATTTTTTTTTTCTTAAGAGAGGTGTTCAAAGCACTTGGCAAAACATGGCATAAATTCAGTACAAAGTATACTAATATTTTGAGGAATAAGCTTGTTGTTGGGAGTTGCGATTTCATTTTTATTATCGGGATTACTTATTATGTATTGTATTACATTATTATTCTGTATTACATTGATTTTTTTCTTTTTTTTTTTTTCTTTTGTAAAACTTCCAACAACGAAGGCCTAAATCCTCTTCTAACAAGACTGACTAGTTATAAGCAATATAAAAGCCTGTTCACCACGACTTCCATGTTTTTGCTGAATGTATTTGTATATTCATTAAAATATATCAGTATCGGAAAAACCTGTTGCGATTGGGCACCTCCTCTCTTAATTAAAAAAAAATATATATATATTTTCAATAGTTGAGAATTTATATAAATGAAAAAAAAAATAATAATAGTAAATAATAAAAATGTATTTTGAACCAAGTTATACTTTTCGACATCTTTCACTGAATGGAGTACAAAATTTTTATACTTGAAATAAATGTTTTCCTTTTATAAATAAGGGGATTTATCTTTTTAAAAAATTCTGGTTGAAATGTAAGTAACAGGCATATTGTATTTATGGTTGAATTTTATTATATAGAATTTTTGTTAACATAAAAATTTTCTCTTTGTTTGTAAATGTTTTTAATAATGATTTGTAGCCAATATCCTATAGAGTTAGTATACTAAGTTCCTGAGAATATTTCTCATTGTGAATAATAGTTAATTTAAAAAACAAAAAAAATGCTTCATTAAAACGATGAACATTATAATCTCATGTATATAAGGCACATATTTAACAATTTGTTCAGTTTTCAGTGACTTTGTAATTTAGTTTTAATTGTAAATATCACTGCCAGGGGAGAGAAGAAACTGTGTTGACAACATTAACGATTTGTTTTAAAGAAAAGAAGAGAAAAGAAAAAAAAGAGAAAGATCCGAATTGGGCTAAAATATTTTAGTGTTTTAAATGTATATAGAATTTGTAAAGTTTCAGTTATGATTCCAGGCAAATTATTATTTTTTTTTTGTTTTATATATATATATATTGATCTCAAAAACTATTGATTTAGTGTCAGTAAAAATTTTATAGCTGTTTGACCCACAAGAAAAGCTCAAGCATTACCTCCGTTAGACATTCCGATTTATTACTTTTTCCATTAAAATCAGTTTAATACTTTTTTTAAGCATGATTCTGTCAGAAAATAATAAATTTTTCAGACTTGTGTTTATCTGACAGTAAGTAAACCTGGTCGATATAAGCAGAAAATTTCTTTAAAAAAAAAACAACTAATTTCCATGGAAAAAGTTATAGATACTGTTGTCCGGTTAAAATTGTGCCAACAGGAACATGCAAGGCTTTGAACCGAGAGCTTATAACTTCAAATGTGGCAAAGACTGATGTGAAATATTGTAACTTTTATTTTATCGATAACAATACTCATCTTGAACAACTTGGCCCAATTTCTGTATAATTTATATAAATATGTCTTTTGCTTTTAATATAACCCGCCTCAGCGGAAACTTGTATTTATGTATTTTAATTTGGTGTTTACAACCAGCTACATTATTTGTTACACTGCCTATTTTTAATGATTTCATCGCAAAATGAATGGTAAAATTTCTTACAAGTCTTCTGGATATGGGGTTTTTGGTACGGAGTCGACGCAGTTGAAGTTTTTCTTTTTTATCACCAAAAGCCTTCTATTGTCTAGTAGAAAGAAAAAAAATGTAAATATATTGTATTTATGTTTAGGATTTGAATGTAATGTACATAGTTGGATTAGGAAAGGTTTATCATTAGATCTTTTAGCCGTGCTTGAGGAAGTGTCCAAATGTTATCGGTATTAATGAAGATTATAAGAAATATTAATAGCTTTTAAAAACCTTTTAACAGTTTGGACGCATTTTAGGATTTTATCTCTTTCTATATATATATATAAATATAAATATATATATAAAATATGTATAAATCTACATTTATTATAATTGTTCGTGTATAAGAAAGGTTTATAGAGGCATATTAAAGGGTTCTGATAATATTTTTAGACGAAATGCTATGTTACGCGACTGATGTGTCTACTTGAAGTATGTTGAAATGGCCTTGGAAGTAAAGCATATCCCCCAAGCGCCGGTTTCGCGTGGGGGGAGGTATTAAATTGAAATTGCACAGTAACTCACTGCCATTGTTATAATAAAAATTAATAAAATGCCACATCAATTCACATTGAATTATCTTGTTAATTATGATGTCTAAAGATGTTAGACAACGTAGGTAGTTTTAAATGACAATCTACTCAGTTTGTCTCATTGTCGTTCACATTCATGTTCATTTTATTTCTCTCATTATTTTCCATGTGCCATTCCTGCTCTCAGATTATAGGCAATTTTTTTATTTGTTAATTTTTTTTCTTAGTAAATTGTATAATTTAAATAATTTTTAAAGCGAAATCTAATGATCTCTAGTATTATATCCATCTTAACATATTTTAAATTTGCTTTCATATTTATTTGCGTGTACATTTGTTTTTCTATGGGCCTATTTTTTAGTAACATTATGTTCAATATTCGTCGCATACTAGTTTATGTATAATGCATAATTTAGAATTTTAGTTTTTTTTTTGTTTCATATTTGAATAGTTTCGAAGTCTTTTTATAATATTTAATAATTATTGAACACTGCCATTTATGTTGTCAATTGCTCATTTTAGGTAACATCGTGTATTAATTTTTTTAATAACGTACTATAAAATCCTGTCTATTCCTAAGTAATATTAGTCAATGTGTGCTATCGAGACTCGAATTCTGTCGGCTACAATATGTGTGTTTTCGTTCTGTATTATGTTGAAGATTTTCTTTGATATTATTTTTTTCTTTCCTTAAAAGACTTTCATAAAATTAGGGACCGAAACAAATTGTTTACATTTAATCCAAAAGAAAATATTTTTTTTTCCTTTAAGTTTTTGAAATACTCCTAATAAAATTATATTTAAAGATTAAAGAGTTAAAACTTAAAATAGAACTTTTGGTCCCTGGATAATAAATATAAGGATCTAGTTGCCAATTAAACTTTTCCGAAAATCAAAACATTTCGATTCCATGTTTTCCAAATGTTATGACAATTAACGTTCCGTGCAATTAAATGTAAATTTATAGGATTGATAATTTTTTCGAAACACCATATCACAATTGTGATACTTATTGTATGTAGCAGTGGTTCATTCCTTCAATTTGCCGTACGAATGCACCGTTCTTTTTAAAAAGTAGAATATGCGAACCGAATAACATAATGTGGATATATTGAGCCTTTAAAATTACTTAAGAATATTCTATTCTATTCTCTATAGATTTAACTGTAAGAGTGAATTCAAATGTGTTCTGTTCTTTAATTACAGTATTTGACTTTGTTGTTTAATTTTAACATCAGCATTTTGAGTCAACTGAATTTTTAGTTTTACTTGAATTGGATGTGTTGAGGAATATCATTGATTTTAAAAAGAAAATCATGTGAAATTTATGATTATCAAAATTTTTGTAATTACATTTTTATAATTGTGTGAATGTCTAAAAAGGCCTGTGCTATTGTTATTTAAAAAAAAAAAAAAAAGAATTACAACATTCTGGACCACAAAACAAAAACCTATGTAAAAGCCTATTATTTATTACTGAAATTTTTTTAGATGTTAAGAATTAAAAAGTATTGATGTATCAAAACTGAAATTTTAAATATAGCAACGTTTAATTTGATATTTTTTTTTTGTTTGTAAATTTAAATTGATAACCAGTTTAAATTAATTTTTGTTTATTATATACATCTCGTCTCCCCTACGTTTCTTTATTATTTTATTCCGTTGCCATTGACTTTGTATCAGCATTTGTAAACTGTTTAACAAGATGTATTGTACTTGGCATTAGATCGAAGTGGATACATGATGTTAGTAGCAGGTACAAGTGTAGTGGTAGTATTGTTACCTGGTAATGGATATATATATTCGAAATATTTTTGCTAAATATATATATGTTTGTATGTATACATATATGCAAATGAGATCTTATTGTAAATGTTTTCAGGAACATGACTAACGAAGACCAAGAGTCAATTAGTATTTTATTTATTTGACACCGTTGAAGACTGTCTTTATACTTAGCTACATTTTATAATAAATCTTTTTCTATGTAATATATTAGGAAATGAATAAATATAAGAAATGTTATTTATAATACTAAATTTATTTTCTGATATCTTGCTTTATTATCGACATTTTTTTTTTTTAATATCTTTCTTCATTCATTTCATCTTCTCATATTCATCATTGCGATTGAAAGAATGATAAAAATGTGAACAAGAGTTTAATTTTCTGTTTAGCTTTAGCTTCAACTCTTCATCTTCAATATTTAGTGTCCTTTCATATACGCATATTTCCATATGTCAGCCATGCAGACTGAAGAATGAAATCTATAAAACATAGTAAGTGGAAACGTTAAATGTGTGATCGATGACCATATCAACTCTCCGTAATAAGCAGATCTGGGGTCGTTCGTATTGGAATGGGATTTTATTTCAAATGTTTCAGTTATCCACATTGTAACGTTGCAAACTATTAAAAACATGAGCAGTTCTCTCCCAGGCTTTTCGGTTCTTAAGGCTTTCGCATTAGAACATCTTCGAAGCCCGTCTATTATGAACGGGGTTTGAATCAGTACCTGGATGACCTGTAAAATAGTATTTCTTAGTATTTTTGTTGTTGAAATATACTTAAAATGAGTAGATTATTTAATTTTATTTGGATTGGCCAACTTGATATGAACTGAATTTTTAAAATAAATAAGAATTAATATGTTGTCTCTCGATAACAATTTTTTAAAATATATTTTTCATTTCCTTGAAAAATTAATATCGTATAAAAAAAATAATTCTTTTCGCTTACTTTTCGTAAGGTCAATTAATAATCAATTTAGTTTTTGATACTATTTGTTATTGGACGTTTTGGAGAATCTTCGTAACCCTCTTTAGCGGTACTGTATGCCCTAAGAATTGGATAAGTCACAGTATTTAATAAGCTCGGTCAACGGCTATAATCCAACTCAACATAATCATTTATCAAACTTATTTAACACTGTGACTCACCCATTTTTGTGGCAAATAATATTGCTGAAAAGAGTGACAAAGATTCCCCGAAACTTTCAATTTATAAATATTATCAAAAACTAATTTTATTTTATTAATTGAATTGACCAAAAGTCAAACAAATGAGTGAGAAAAGATATTTTGAATATAAAGGACAAAATGAAAAAAATAAATTTAAATATTCAGGAATTGATTCTCGTCTTCAGAATCAATCTTTATGAATGATTTATATGAATTTTATTCAGAATACAAATTAAATATTTTCTAATAAAAATTTAAAATCCAAAGAAAAAAGTGTGATATAGAGAGGTTTGATTGTATATCCTTTATAACTCAAAATATTTAAAAATAACCTTTATGAAATGTTAGTTATCGAGAGTGGATTGTATTTTGTCATATTTTGTTGATGCAATTTTTAATTAAATTTTGAAAAGATTCATGTCTTCTCTTCCTTATTTAATGTTTTAATAAATTTATATTATAAAAAAACACCTTCATTGAACTCGTAAAAAAAAAAAATTGACATAACAATGCGAGAATTAAAATTTACAATTAAATACCATTAGGTATTTCAATTAATTGTTAATAAATTCATAGAACAAGGAAGACGACAATTCAATGAAAATTGGCCATTCCTGCTGGTTGTGAAATATGTTATAGTAATATTTACCTCTTCTATATTTTTTTAAATTATATAAATAATTAATCGAGATATATAAGAGGTGTTCAATTTACCTGTAAAATGACCGTTGTCAAACAGATGTATTTTCTAGATCTCCATGCAGGTATAATGCTCAAAATAAACTGTACAAAGAAGGACGGAATGCACGTGAACAACAGAATATCGTCCAATAATGAGATCTCATTCGAGTTAACGTCCAACTTTGTTATTTGCTTGTAAGCTGGTATCACAGTTACGGTCATTAATATTGTCAGTGTTAATTCTGTTACAGAATTCACCAATAAGCCTGCTTCGATATATATGCTGAAAAAAATTTAAACTTTTAGATCTATTGTTGTTTTCAGAGTGAAATAATTTTATAAATTTATTTTTTATTACCTGTCAGTCATGGCGACAAAGAAGAGAACAATACTGAGGAAGGAACCGACTAGAACTATCAGTCCGGCAAAGAGACCTTTATTTGAAGAATGACAATCCGCATGTAGCACGACATTTGATATTAGGCTGTCGTTGCTACTTACAGGAGTGCACTGACTGTATGATCCGATCTTCTGCCATACGACAAACATCATACCAGCTGCCAACAAACAACATATTCACTTTTTGTCAGTTTTAAAGTTCTGGATGAACGGCGTGTGGGCCAAGATCACTTTGATCACACTTGTACATATAATGTTGAAAATAGCCGAGATTGTCCGAAAGATTACTGAGTCCTGAACCCTTAACTAAACCCATGAAGAATTTTCGCTCATCACAATCTCTTCTTCCTTCTAATAAAAATAGATAACACCGTGAACTGTATTATACATGGTGTTAAGGTTATATTGTGTGTCGATGATCAAATATGAAAATAATCATAATTTTTATTTAAATATATAAATATGTATGAAAACACCACATTTTTTTTTATTTTTTATTTAAAAGCAAAATGCACGACGTTTTCGACTACTCCAACACTTACTACACAAATGGTCTAATCTTTCTATATATTACTAAAGACTCATATACATGACTATAATAAGGCCAATCTGGACTTTCGGAATTGAGCTTTGGGACTCCACTAAACCATCAAATTCCTCTCGTATCCAATCCAAAATCCTTCATAAAATCCTCAATGCTCCTTATACTTTGTCACAAATAAAATCATTCATAACGACTTTAACGTACCAAATGTCTCTGATTTAGCCCAATCCAGATACCCATCCGTCCATAACAAACTTCAAAACCATCCGAATCCTCTCATTTCAAATCTTGCTTCCTCTTCAATACCTGATAACCCTCCATTGTGTCTGAAAAGAAGATGGCCTCGTGATCTACTTATGTAAATATATTATTAAAGTGCTACCAATATGTAGTTTCTCAACAAGCGTTTTCATGTATTATTACCTTGTGCACATTTACTGGATGTATTTTTAATTTATACAGTTGTAAATCTCATGAAAAAATAAAAATAACTACATATAACAATAATTACAAAACCAAATATTCAAATATAATTAAAGATTTGATTTTTTTTTCATACAAAGAAATTTTATATATTATATGTTTTGTTACTATAGTATAAATACTTATTCTTATTATTAATAATATCAAATTATAAAAAAGACCAATTGACTATTAATCTATAAATGTGTCCTAAAGTAGAAAAATTGGGTATTTCTAACTCCACCTAGCATAAATGTATTAAGAATGAAATGTAACTTAACCTAACCTAAAAACTTAAATATGGAAGAATAAAAATGAATAACATATATCCTAATCCTAACTCTCCTCTTCCCAAATATAAATTGTGGTGTTAATGCAAAGCGTTATTATCAGATATGTTCGGCATTTTCCAGAACTTCATATATAAGTATGATCTGAGTGATCTTGGCCTATACTTCGTCCAGACGGATCACATGTGGACTTTTACAGTTATATATTTAATGACTTACCTACTAATATGCTGTACTCTATTGTAAATGGGTATAGATAAGGTGTGAACATTCCGAACACTGAAGTCAACGTATGAGGCCCCAAGCACTCATCTGTTTCTTCATCAATTATACTTGTATTGCCTAATTAACAAGTTTGATTTTATTTTTATTAAAATATATTTGTTGTTGTTTAGCTTGGTATAGATCTGAGCCGTTACCTGTTTTCATGTGGTGATGAAGAGAGGCAGGAGGTTCATGGTGATGATGATTCATCGAATCTACCGTTTCCCTTAAAATAGTCCAAATCCAAAAACAAAGATGTGATCCGACGCAATGCATGAGTCCAAACCGAGCTAGAATTTTATGTTTGTTTATAATGACCTGAAAAAAAAATTTATATTCTAATATTGAAGCATTTCGGCAATATTATTTCTTAATATTTTTACTTACATTTGAATATTTGAAGATGAAAAATAACTGCATAAAAGAATATGCAGGGTACATGATATCCAGTGCTAAAGTAATCCCATTGGCGCACTGGTAAAAATTGTGGGGTTCCAATATTAAGAAGGCCACTTGATAAGAAATCAGTAAACCGCTATGGAGAAGATGTCCTAGGCAGAAACCTGTAACCAATCGATTTAGAGTTTTTTCAATTAATCAAAGACATAATTTAGTAACTATCATTTCAGAAAGATGCCTTGTATAATAGGGATATTCTCCAAAGCTTAATATTATAAATAACAAATACACAGTATGCTCTCTCTGATCCAGGTGCTGGGATAAAATTCTTATCGGCAGATTTTAGGTGGGATCGTTGCTTGGGCGCCAAATTCAGAGTGTCAACTTTTTTAGAGTATAAATATAAAATTGAAATAGTGCCTTTCGTTAAGCCTATGTTACTATATCAAGACTATAAAGTTTATGTTGCTAAAACACAAAATCGAAACTTTTGGCTTATGTACAAAATTAAAATAAGGTGAATAGTATCAGCATTAATTGTCTCTTCATACCATTTACCATTTTCAAACTGATCCTTTCTACTGCCAAACTTCTATTGATTGTCATTTAAGGGATGTAGAGAAGTTTTGATATTTTTGGACTTTCTTACATATTACGAGGGACGACGTTAATGAAACTGTTTCTTATTAAGTGGGTAAAACTTCATTGTTCTTCATTTTGACTATAAAAGAATTTTAAATTATTAACATATCTGAATTTTTTGAAGAATTATTGTTGGTAATGACTCAAGTTGTAGTTTATCATAAAAAAAAAATGTAATTAAAATATATTATTCGTTTTAACTAATATTTTCATGTCAATTTTTTATCTTATAATTTTTCAGATACAACAAATCTGTTTCATCAAATGACAATTTGTTTTTCAGAATTCATGATTTCTCATATAAAATTTTATTAATTGTGGGTAATGGTACAACTCTATTTTATAAAATAAAAGCCAGTTTTTATGTAAATGTTTTGTCTTTTACTTTTTCAGACATTACAATACAATTAATATTCAACAAGAAGTATTGTGGTGGTATCAAATCAAAATAAAATTACTATCTGTTTTAGCAAATGGTATTTTGTTTTTTTCAGAATTTAAAATTTCTCATACGAATCATTAATAAATTTGATTATTCATGGGTAATGGTAAAACTGTAGTTTAAAATGTTATCAAATAATAAAAATTATTTTACATACATTTTTTGTTTTTCACTTTTTCAGACATGACAATAAAGTAATGTAATGTACAACATGAAGTATTGTGGTGTTGGTGGATCAAAATTAAATGACTGTCTGTTTTAACAAATGACAACTTTTTTTTCAGAATTTACAATTTCTCATACAAATCATTAATAAATTTGATTATTTGTAGGTAATGATACTACTGTATTTTAAACTTTTATAAAATAAAAATTATTTTTTGTCTTTCACTTTTTCAGACATGACAATAAAGTAATATTCTACAAGAAGTATTATGGTGGTGTCGAATCAAAGTAAAATGACTGTCTGTTTTAACAAATGACAATTTTTTTTTTCAGAATTTCAAATTTCTCTCACTATTCTAAAATATTTATAAATAGGATCAATTTTGACCAAATAATAAAGGTTGGAATTAAATATAATTTAAACATTTTATGAAATTAAAAACTAATATTTGTCATACCAGTACTTTTGTCTTACTCTTTTTCAGATTTAAAGTAATATTTAGAATGAAGTAATGTTATTTTGAACAAAATAGACTGACTGATCTGTTTTAACAAAAGACTTTTTTTTTTACAGCGCTTAAAACTCGTCTTACAAAGTTGATTATATAAGAAATAAATTTGATTCATAAACTGTGTCTACTTACTTCGCCTACCTTTTCTTCAAACTAATTTATGAAGTTATTAAAGAGATTAATTTGTGATTTTCTGTATGTTGCATTTTTTTCTCTTTCTCCTATGAAAGGATTAGAGAGAGACTACTGTATATCTGTTCATGATTTATATATCAATTATTTTTAATATTATGTTGTATCAAGACTTGAACAAGGCGAAATTTAAATGATTTTGAAATACAAACCATACATTTTTCATCTTCATTTATTAAGAATACTATTGATTCGTGTATATTCTAATCACGATCACGTTAGAATTAAATTATACCACAAATTTTAAATCAATTCAAACCAAACCTTAATTAATTACTATAATTTATTTTTTTGTCTTTTAATATAGGAAATCCTTACGTATTACAACTTGATTTAATAACTTTTAAAAAAATTTGTATTAATACCAATTATAGATATCTTCTAAGGCTGATATTTTACGACTCTCTGAGTTTAAGATTTCTAGATCTAAAATAAATACACCAATAGGTTTAGTACATATTTTGAATTGATATTTTTTTGAATTTCGGAAAATAAAAGAAAAAAAAATATGAATTCAATCCATGGCTATTTCTGTTTTGTACATTTACTAATTTTCCATCAGATTAAGTTTTCAAGCTTAAATAAAGTAATGGCACATGGGAAATAATGGTATAAAGTAAGTAAATATAAATATTGTTTTTAACTTTCAGAAAATTTGTGCCTATACCGATTTTACATTTGAAACCTTGATGGGAGTCTTAGGTTAATTATAGGTTATTAATATACACTCAAACTGTGTTTTTTTTGTTTTTTTTATTGTGTTGTACATATACCTGCCGCTCCGACTTTGAGGTAAAAGCTACCAGAATGTCTGCCTTTGCTGAAGCAATAATGGTGTGGAAGAACCAAGTCTGGCTCGCTCAGAGAATTCCAATTGACTGAGCCTCGGCCGACACTGCTTCTTCTAGACGAGGACTCAGATTTCGCTGTACAGAGTATTTAAATCAATATGTAATTTCATATTAATTCGTATCATATGCAATTGATATTAAAGTCATATTTATTCTTTATCAATAGTGTGAAGAAGATAAAAAAAAAAAAAATTTAGCTTGTTCGCATGTTAACTGCTTCAATAATGCATGCTTACCGAATCATTAACCCCCAATAAAAATAGAAACATTTATTCTGGAACCTTATTTGGAAAGAGGTAAGTTGTTTCATCAATTTCAACTTCTTTCTATGAACTTAAAGAAAAATTTAAGCTGCAAATAATACATGAAAAGGAACCATAGGAGGAAATCATGTTTGAGAATTGAAGGATTTTCTTAGTTTTTTCTTTCAGATAAAGAAGTAATAAATGAATCTTGTGTGTTGACTTTTAATTCCTTGGCATGAAAAAAAAATTAAATTTATTGTTTTCACATTTACATGATCAATTTAATAAAAATATCCTGTATTCTCCCCAAATTTTGTTAATTCCATCTATACAATTCCAGATTTCGCCCTAAAATTATCAAGGTAAGTATTTCTAATTTAATAAAAATGTTTCATAAATACAAAAAGTATTTTTCATAACCATTAACTAACATCCTCGCACGTTAAAAATATTTGTATATTTAATGTTTCTCAGTATTCCATGGAATTTATTAATGTTTTATTTTAATGATTATTTAATTATTAGAGTATTTTATTTATTAGGGGATTGGAAGCCAACTGTAACCAGATCAATATGATTATTTACAAAATTAAATCCTTTAAAAATTATCAAATTTAAAGGATTATTATCAATGTAAAATATCATATATTTATAATGATATACATTGATATCTATACTACAGTATGTATCATCATTAATAAGTTTGTAATTTTTTAAAATTTAAACGCTCCAAGAAAGAACTACGTTTATTTAATCATAGATACAGAAAAATTTAAGTTATTTTCAACCTCTATGTCTTATTTCCTGTATAAGCAGACATTTTTAAAAATTCAATATGGCGGATCCTAACCTTTCAATTTTCTAGAAATACGTCATCTGGTGGTTTTTATTGCTGTTGGAATAGAAATTTGTGCATAATTTCTAAAGTGAAATATTCAAAATAGACTGTTTGATTGAGAAGCCACCGATTCAAAACCGAAAGATTTTTTTTTAATAAGATTCGGTATCAGTGTTTCTGAATCATAACAGCATTTTGAATTTCGAAATGACCTCAGATAGGGAAAACTTTGTTTAATTTTTTTTTTTTGTTTTTCAATGTCATAATAATGTATTTAGAAAAATAGAGCTCTCAGGCTTTGGTTTCAGATCATGTCAAACATAATTTTTGAAACCATCTCATTAAACATTCAGTTGCTGTGTAATATGAAAGAGAGTAATGTTTTCAACAAGTTTATCTTCATCCAATATAATTATTTCAAACAGTGTTAAATATGAGATAAAAATAAAATGGTTTCTCTATTGTACTCACCATATTTTGCTGCAACCATTTCCTCACTTACTTTGAGTAATTTTGAGAATTTTCTCATATCCACGTATAAGAATGCCAGGTAAAATATTCCTACTACTACTAAATAAATACTGAAAATCTAAAAAAAGGATTATTATTATTAAATAAAAAAAGAAGTTTGTTTACAAAAATTATATTTGTATTATAAATATTTCGTACCTCAGCGAAAGGAGCAAGTCCTGAGTTAATTTCACCAATATATATTATCACACCTAAGGTTACTACGAACATACAATATATGCAACTAAGAATATTTGTCAAAGATTGCCTGTCGAAAATTGAAACAATTTTACATGTTTGTTTATTTAATAATATTACATCATTGATTTAAATATAATATTTCTTTATTTACCTGAACATTTCTTTCTTTTCTTGAGGAGAAGATGATAATAAAGTACTGCAGCGCATGACGTTTGTCGAAAATATGCCATCATCGGTTTTTTGGCCATTTTCATCAGTTCCATGTGTTTGTATTGAATATATCCTACTTTGTTGTAACAAGTTGTTGTCGTCGTATAGACAAACCTTACGTTGTGTAGCGAAGTTGGGAACTGTAGCAGGAGCTAAAAAAGAAAAAAACTTAAGTATTGAAATTTGATAAAAAAAAAAAAAAAAAATTAAATATAAGGTACTATAATTTTAATAAATATAATGTAATTAAGATTTTTTTATTCAATCGGTGGTATAGGAAAAGTTTTTTCATCATTCACAAGCTTTGACAAGTTTTTTATATAGTGGTAAAAAAATTTTTAAAGAAGATTTTCTTTTTTGAATATGTAATCAAGATAAAAATGGCGATACCTTTTAAGAAAATTAATATCCTGCTTCAAATCAAACTTGAAATGTAAGTAAAGATTTTACTAATTAAAAGAAATGAAAAAGTTGGGATCACTATTTGATTATGATTATGCTACAAAATCACAAACGAATTGCTTCTTCAGAAGATTTTTACATTTTTTTATTAAAGGCCATAATCTAGTGCAGGAATTAATTAGTTACCTGTTAACAAACCTATTAAATAATACAAGCCATTAGTATTTTATAAGATGGTATTTATAATTCATTTACCTATCAAGAAAGTTTATTCATTATTTCTTATTAAAATCAAATTAGTCAACTTTTACATAGTGCCTATTTAAGTGTTCTTAGAATATGTATCTTGGATCCTAAGAGCTAATATTTTTATCTATGGTTTATTACATTTCCATAGCTAATTCTAATGCTCCCAGGATACAAATACAGATGCATACACTATTAAAATCACAACCAAACTCTTCGTTTGGTGTGTGGTTCGACTCAGGCAATAACATTAAAGAATAGGGATTGATCCTAGTATAGAACCAAGCTCTTGTTTGGATACAACAAAATCCAACGAACGACTGTCAATATATTGAGGTGTACGTTGGTCACCATCTTCCTAATCCACATTACATCAATACATTGATTGTCGTTCAATGGTATATTGTGTACATGTCTTATCACTTTGGGTTTGGGGCCAAGAGATAAATACTATATCCTGAGGAGGGAGCACTCAACACCAACCAGTTCATTGGATCTGATTTTCACTTTGGGAGTGACAAGATGTATGTGAGAGAATCACTTGAGAATATGAATCCAACAGAAGAAAGAGGTGGAGTTGTAGTAGCTCTCTTTGTTCTCTTGGATTCGTTTTTCTTGGAAGATTCACCAGGTCCTAAGAATGATAAACACCCAGTTAGGTTAGTGATGAGGTAGATAACGATGGACAACTAGGTAGGTCAGTGATAAGTTAGATAATGGTGAACAAATAGATAGTTCAGTGATAAGGTAGTTAACGATGAACACCCAGTTAGATTAGTGATGGACAAGCAGGTAGCTTATTGCTAAGATAGATAATGAACAACCAGATAGATTAGTGATAAGAGAGATGATGATGGACAAGCAGGTAGGTCAGTGATAAGATAATGATAAACACCCAGTTAGGTTAGTGATGATGTAGATAATGATGGACAACTAGGTAGGTCAGTGATAAGGCAGATGATGGTGAACAAATAGATAGTTCAGTGATAAGATAGATATTGATGAACACCCAGTTAGGTCAATCATGAAATAGATAACGATGATCAATTAGATAGGTCAGTGATAAGGTAAATAATGATGAATACCCGGTTAGATTAGTGATGGATAAATAAATATGGACAACCAGGTAGGTTAGTGCTAAGATAGATAATGATGGGCACCCAGTTGGATTAGTGATAGATAAATAAAGATGGACAAGCAGGCAGGTTGATGCTAAAATAGGTAATGATGAGCACCCAGTCAGGTTAGTGATAAGATAGATAATGATGGACAAGTAAGTAGGTCAGTGATGAGATACATGTTGATGAACACCCAGTTAGGTCAATGGTAAAAGATAACGATGACCAAGATAGGCCAGTGATAAGGTAAATAACGATGAACACCCATTTAGATTAGTGACAGATATATAAAGATGGAAAAGCAGTTAATGGTAAGATAGATAATAATGAGCGTCCAGTTAGGTTAATAGATAATGATGAACAACCAGATAGGTTAGCGATGAGTTAGGTAATGATAGACACCTAGGTAGATCAGTGATAAGATAGATAGTGATGAACAATTACGTAGGTCAGTAATAAAACAGATAATGAATGATGGACACCCAGTTAGATCAGTGATAGATAAATAAAGATGGACAAGCAGGTTCGTTAGTGCTAAGATATATAATGATGAGTACCCAATTAGGTTACTGATAAGATAGATAACGATGAACAACTAGATAGGTTAGTGATCAGATAGATAATGATGAACACCCAGTTAGGTTAGTGATGAGATAGATAACGTTGAACAACTAAATAGGTTAGTGATCAGTTAGTTAATGATGAACAACAAAATCGTTCAGAGTTAATTAAGTAAATCACTTATTTATGAGATTAAACTATTTCAAAATCTGTTACAGATTTTGCAGTTGAATTAACATAGCAACGTGGAATTAGGGTCATGATTAGAGTTTAGAGACAGTTATTCCACTTTAACACACAAATTCTTGACCTTCCTCTCCAAATTTATGAAAGAAAAATACGGTTTATTTATATCAGAAAAAATAAATGGAAAATATTTATTTAAAGTTGTATAAATCAAAAGAAATGGAACGCTTTCATTCAGAAAAACGCAACTCACAAAGCTTGTGCAGTGCCCTAGACTTAGAGAGACTTGTGTGCTTGAATTTATAGAGGGGACTGAATGCACTTTAAAAGGAATTCTACCTGCTCATTACCAAGAGGAAATGTTAGTAATTAAACAAGAGATATTCTATAGAAAATGTAGTTATGCCCCACCAACAATTATATCTAATAAATCCTATATCGAGAAGGGGGTTATACAAGAAAATCACGTTTTTTTCCAATTATTAATCCAAATTTATCTAATGCAATAGAACCTTCTTCAAAATTTTCTCACCATTTTAGGAATCTACATTGTATTTTCAATAAGATAACCAATTTTGTGAGGAAAGTATTGAGGCTGTCATAACAGCCGAAGCAAAGTAAGGGAGTAAAATTGAAAAGTATTCCTTTGCATTTCACTTAGATAATCAACATTTTCATGATAGATCCTTGAGAGATTTCAAAAATCTGTTTCATTTCATCAGCAACTTTTCTTTGTCTGGTGAAGGCTCAAATATGTTTCCCACAAAATTGCTTATCACATTAAAAATACAAAATAGATTAAAGAAATGGTGGAGAAATGTTGAAGAATGTTCAATCACATTAGATAAATTAGGATTTTTATGGAAAAAAATTATCGATTTCGGATTTAATAATTAAATGTGGGGGAGGGGGATTAGTCACTTAAGTGTTAGCAGTCCACATTCTATATTCTTCAAATCCCGGACCTGTTCAAGCAGTGCGAGTTGCCTTTGTCAGTATGAAAATGTTCTATTTCTCTTAATTCACAACTTTGCTGACCTTATCTAATTTCGAAGAGATATTGAGGTTGAATGTTATAAAACGTTAGATACCCACAAAAATACATTAGATACCCAATTAGTATTTTTTTTTATCTTGTATAAGTAATGAGGGAGCGTTATTGCAACAAATATTTGGAACTTCTTTTATTGTTAATCAATAATATGAAATGAAAATATTTGTTATTATTCTGAGATTGTTGTCTATTTAAAATAAATTATACATACAGAATGAATGCCAGTGCGGCCATATATAAATTAAATATTTATAATAATAACTAATTAAAAATAAAAATACAGAAAGAAAGAGAGAGAAGTACTCGGGGGGTACTTAAAGAGTTCTCTTAAGTTCATTTCGAATTGGAAAAGGAGTTGGTGTTTAAAAATGAGAGATTTGATACAGAAAACTGAGGGTGCGTGTCGAATAACAGGATGGATTGAATTCCAGAGGAAGACCGCTTTAATTACAAAGGATTTGTCAGGTTCGGTGAGGAGGAGGATAGAGGTCGGTAGTATGAGATCTAGAGGGACGGGATTGGATAGAGTATTTGTAAGCTATGAAAAATATAGTTAGGTCGCTTGGTTCTAATATATTCTGGTATAGAAAGGTATCTAGGAAGTACTAACGGTGGTAGGATAGATAAAGTCTATAAAACGTCACCTTTTTAAAATGTAAATGTAATTATTGTGCTTCCAATAATAATTACCTTCCAATTTAAAAAAGGTATTGTATTATTGTAAGAATTATTAGAAGAACAATAAAACATATTCTAAATGTATGCATTACTGAATCTTCCTTAATCCTTACGTACAATAGAGAAAAAACAGAGTTTGCTATTTTATGATAATCAACCCAGCTAAACTATAAAATTTCTTTGTAATTAATAAGAAAACTAATCACGGGTTCAATTAGAATGTTTTCTAATTAGCATTCTATTTCCCTCACCTTCATGGTTTCGAATTAATCATCAGATGGCTCTATTTAAACTGACTATGAAGAGATTTTTATCCAATATCAATAGTTTTCTACCTTAAAGAGAATTGAGGGAGGGGAGGGAGAGAGAAATAGATTTGGACTTTACATTAATTATTATTTTTAATCTCGAAAATCATAAGAAATGTAAGTATGGCTCATAAAGAGAAGCTAAATTATCGAAGTAAACAAAAAAAATATATATATATATATATATATATATATATATATATATATATATATATTTTTTTAATCTATTTATTGAATAATAAAATAATCAGCCACTGCTGGAGGGCTATAAGTATCAGGGCTAAAAGTTCTCATTCATACAGTATATACAAATAATAGAGAAATAAATAAAATATAAAAAGTAAATAAATAATACTGATGAAAGTAAATAAAAAAAAAATAAACAAATCAAATAAAATAAAAACTTTTAAACACAATCATACCTATATACAATATATACATTCGCCCAAGAATCTCCGAGCCATGCTTTTTCCCCCACATGTGGAAGGCAAAGCAAGACTCCAGGAGATCCCAGTGCCATTTTTCCAGCCGCACTGAGAGAGGGCACTAGAGCCACAGACGCTCAGGACATGAGTGGAGAAGATGGCCATTGCCAGGAC